TTGTTCTAACGGTCACTACATACCCTCATTTTTCGTATTTTCTAGTCAAATAATGAAAATCTTATGATGAATGCTCCAGCTGAGAGCATCGGTGAGGCCCAGCCAAAAGTGTGGATAATTAGTGATTTTTTTCTTGCAATATCTAAGAATATTCGTCAAACACAAATGTACAGACATTCCAGAATGTGGAAATGGCTACATATGTGTTTAATGCTGGTTATTTTGAAATGTCCGGTACTAGGTGCCACTTTGTAAAATCATATTTTTTGTTACCAAAGTTTTATTGATAGTATTAATTATTGTTTAGCAAAGATTGCGTTTTTGTTAATTTAGTTTGATTTCTAATTTGTTATCTAAGATAAGTCATAATTTAATAAACATGTCGTAAATTTTTTTTGATTTATTTATAAATAATCTTAGGTGTCCGGCACTCGGAGACTTTCCCCTATATATTAAATGTAACAATCCAAAAAGATTTTTGCTAGATTTTTGCTAACGTGGACCCCTTGAAAGTTCTCATGCACACTTGGGGATCCATATGGACCACTTTAGGAATCACTAGTTTAGACAGTGTAATTGTGTAATTTTGTCAATATTTTTAAGAGTAATTGAAATATTATTTTGTACATGGGAACCATATTTAACTTTATCATAAAATAACTTGAGATTATGTCGAAAGCTAAATAATACAAGTTACTACCGAAAGTAGATGTTTCAATTTCAACACAATTAATTTAGAGTATAGCAATGACATATGCTTTTTAAATTAGTTATCAATGAAAAGGCATATATTTACACAGAATCTCTAAATTGAATTAAGGTATTCTTTTAGTCTCCATTCCTTGCACTTTGATGATTTTGAAAGATACTTTAATAAAAAAGTACAAAAGATATGGAAGAATAATAATGTAACGAATTTTGTGCTAGTATTAAATGTGTTTTGCATCAGAAATCATGGCAAATTTTTCTTACACCTCTTATGCGTCGGAATTTCAAACAAGAATGCCATTATTCGGATTGGATTACAATAAGTGATAATCAGTATGAATTCAAAACAATAAATGTTTTACAAGCGTGAACTGGTTTGTTCGCTTCGCAAGTGTACCAAATTTTATGCGATTTTTTTACTAAATTTATGATAAATATCTAGTCATCATAAAACAATAAAATATTTATAAATATCAGTGTACATATTTTAAATTAATAATAATATAAATTCTAATAAATAAATTTAATTAGAGATAATTTATTAACCAAAATGAATAAGGAAAAACGTATACCTCGCACATATGGTGATCGAACTTATGTTCATGGTTGGGACATCAAACGCCTCTCATATCCAAAGGATCATGATCCTTATTGCCCGCCTGGAGGAAAATTGACATTTGCAACTCATGATAGATTTGGTACTTATAAAAGTCTTGATCTAAGCATAAATATCAATAGCCTTGGTTTTGCGAACAGTACTCATATCTCTAAATATAGTTTTATGATTCCAATCATAATTTCATAGTGTAAAGGTTGATGTTAAAAATTAGCAAAAACCTGAAGCTTTAATTTATCTCTATTAATAGCTTACAATGCCAATACCATGAGATATATCAAATATTTTTTTATATTATTTTTATCATAAAAAGCATGGTTGTTAATAAGCAATTAAAAGATATAATAAAATTATGTACATACATCGACGTGAAAATATTTCACAATTTATAGCTACACAGAAATAATCAGATATATGCAAATTTTTTCTAGGTGAAGATTTCATTGGCCATACGCAAGCAATTTTTTCTTAATAACTTAATTAACAAAAACAAAATAATTTATCAACTACTATGGAAAAATAGTAGTCAAATTGATGTATCACAAAATCAAAAATTTTCACCATAAAACAATCGATACCGGGCATTTATAGTTGTGTACATTAAGTAGATTAAGAGTTGTGGAAACTAAGGTAGTTTTTAACTTCCCGAAGAAAAAGTTTGTTTTCATCAGAAAATCTTAAACAGCTTGACCGATTTCGATGAGGACTATCGTTTGTATCTCGATGAAACTGTCGTTTGTCAGTTTCACGATTGGCCGAGCCGTTTCTTCGTGAATAGCAGAAAAGTGAAAATATTTTCGTCCACGTTTTAGCCTACAACTCTAAATCGATTTTAAAATTTCGAAAACTGTTCGAAAGGTATTAAAAATTAGTTGGGGGTTCGACCTGATCAGTTTTTGGTAAAGATTTGCTGTTATAAGATCTTGTAATTAACTGTTGAAAATTTTTTTTCGACGCTTTTTATGATTTTTTTTGTTGACGATAGATATCATGGTCTTCTAAATCATACTAAAATATTGCGGCCCTACGACAAGTCGTTTAATTTAAAAGATTCGTCAAATTTTGCAAAAATTTAGGGCCCGATTTTTATTTGGCGTTGGTCAAAATTAAATCTTTCATCGATGTTTTCTTAAAACAGTCTGAACCGATTTCAAAAATTTGAAAGCCATACTATGTATCCCGATGAGGGCTATTGTTTTGCAGTTTTGTGCGACGATCGGCCGAGACGTTTCCTTATAATTAGCAACAAAGTGAAAAATTTCACGTTCACGTTTTAGGCAAAGATTGATTTTATTCTAAAAAATTCAAAAGTTATTCGAAATATAATTTTTGTAAGCTGTGCGTACTGATTGTTAAAAAAAAGTTTCGATGTTTTTTTATTATGATAGATATTGCGATCTTCGAGAACATACTGAAACTTTGCGGTTCTACGGCAAGTAGTTTAATTCTTAAAATTTGTCAAAGTTTGAAAAAATATAGTAAAAATTTGTGTCAAAAATTGCTTTCGTAGTGTAATGAGTCAGATATTCAATTCCTCAAAATTTGGAATAATAAACTAAAATTTTAGGACATGTGTGCAATATAAAATTCAATTGAAAATCACAATGTTTAGTTTTAAGTAAATGCAAAACTTTATTTTTGAAATAAAGAGTTGAAAATTTTATCTAAATATCTCAATTTCAGTTGATTACGTCAATTATAACACATTTTGTGAAGTTCATTGAACTTGCCTTAAGGCTAAATGCCACTTTCAACTAGTTTTTTGTTATTTTCTAGGTACTGAGCCAAGTACTCCTTTCCCTATAAGCGAAACTCGCTACATGCTGGAGCAAATTAAAACCCATGAAGAACCCATGATCATCCGTCGTCCGATGATCAATTTTACAACTTATCCGTATACAGATACTCCTGATAGAAATTTGAATGAATCGGACTTTCCCCAATATCCCAAAAATTATGGGTATCAGGATTATGTCAGCACAATGCAATATGACTATCGAGCTCCCAGGAATTTTGTCAAAAGACCTTTAGTAATGGCTAACCCGCCCTACATGATGAACCAAAAGGTCGTATAATAATTGACTCATAATAAAATAAAAATAAAAGAAAATAAAAAAATAAATAAAAAAAGTACGAATATTATGCGAAATTCCTAATGAAATTAGAAACGCAAACGTTAGAGTTACCAATAAGCAATACAGTTGTAAAATGATTCACATAAATTTAAAAACCTTCAACATTTGAAAAAATTGTACATAAATAAATTCGCGTGGTACAAAAATATTCAATATTTATATTTAGAGATGATTTAGAATTAATTCGACGTTTCTATCTAATTTTCCGTAAAAATTTATCTGAATTGTAATTCTTATTATACTCGTATTTATATTTATTTAGAAACCATTCAAAAATAATACTAAATTAATTTCGTAGACTCATTCCCTCTTAAGGCCGGCTAAAGGTGTTTGGGTTCCTCCACATTTTGGTATAGTTAAATTTGATGACGATTCTGCTGTTATGAAACCATCTAAGAGTGCAGAAGCCACCCAACAACTCAAAAGATTTCGGTAATATAAATATGTTTATCTTTTTTTTTTTATATGTATACAAATATCCTAAACCCTAAATCAATTTATAGATACAACTCCTATGATCCATTTCAAGGAAAATATCAAATAGAATTAAATTCTACATGAGCTTCAAAATCGCCAACATACATACTACCAAACTTAGTATTCTTTCAAGAACAACCAAATTATTGATGTATAATTAATTTTAGCTTCTATTAAATTGTTTTGTGTAGATTTTTTTTTACAACTAGAAATATGTATTACTGCTGTTGTGAAAATTAATATAGTAATAGTGAAAGTGATTTTTTTGTATCAAAACAGACATTTTCCTTCGCATAGCATAGTATGTGTGATTAATTTGCGATAAATAAATTTAACGTTTGAGTCTAGTTTAATGTGTTTTTTACTATAAATTGTGATGGAAAAACCACGGCTGCAATTTTGGTGACAATGATCTGATTTTTTTTATGGAATTGTGTCATCGTATACAATTGTCGTAGTTAATTCATATTTTCTTATATATAAAAATGAATCGCAAAATGTGTTGGTAAGCGCATAACTCAACAACGCCTGGACCAATTTGGACAATTCTTTTTTTTAAATGTTTGTTTTAGGGTTTTAAAGTCCAAGGATGGTTCTTACTGTGAGAAAAAATCGAATAGTTGCCGGAAAAAACCCTAAAAACAGCCCTTTTTCACATACAAACGTTAGTATTTTCATATTCTTGCTATAGGATACGGAATATTTACTCAATTCAATGGAGCGTTTTGGGTCTGAATTATTTTACTGTGGTCTAATTCGTATGAAATTTGGAATGATGGACAGCCCTTCCAGTGGTGTAATTTCATTTTTTTTTTCAAAATAACGTCGGATATCAATAATAGAACTAATTATAAGAAAAAAATGTTTTATAATGTTTTTCAAAAAAGCAAATACTCATCATTTTATTTAAAGCAGTTGTACATTTAAGATCCTTTTGGGTCGCTGTATATATATATATATTTCGGTATGGACTGTAGTGTTAAAAAAACAATAATTTTTAACTAATTGGTAATATTGGTTATTAAAAAAATGGAACTTTTGAATTGTAAACATAAGTACAGGACAACGTCTATCGGGTCATCTAGTTATATATATGCACTATATTATTCACTCTAGTCTATCAATTTTATTCACTGTAGTTTGCTCATTAACTTCCCGAATGAGAAGTTTGTTTTTATCAAAAAATCCTATTTACTAATTTTACGTTTTCTCGAAGTTTTAAGCATTCTGAGACGATTGAGACCAAACTTGAAAAAAGTATGTGCGTGTGTATGTATGGTGTGTATGTGAGCGGAGTTTTTACATTTCGTCGATGTTTTCTCAAAAACGATTAAACCAATTTCGAAAATTTAAAAGCCTTTTGATGTAGCTCGATAAGGACAAACGTTTCTCAAATTTGCGTAGCAAAAAATGTAAAACTTTTTTTCCACATTTAAGCTCACTAAGCTGAATCGATTTTGAAAAATCAAAAGCTGTTCGACAGATGTTAATTAAGAAATATACTGATTAGTTTTTGCTAAAGATCCGCCGAGTAGTTTTCTTGTAATTAACGTTTTTAGAAATAGAGTTTTATGAAACTTTTTTTGGCGATAGATATTGTGGTCTTATAGAACCTACTGAAATATTATGGCCCAGGCCCTACGACAAGTAATTTGAATTTAAAAAATCATCAAAGTTTAAAAATTATGATTTATGTCAAAATTCGCTTTTGTGATTATCACATCAGTCAAGTCAATTAGAAATGACTTTAATATAAGCAAGAAACTAAATGAACAGTCTCCAAGACTTTTTTCTCTAGATTTGTAAAAAACGTGAACGTTCATTTAAAATTTAAATTTAAATCATTAAATTTGAAATCATTAAATCTAGAACTATTAGAACTCTAGCTTCTTATAGCAGATGCTTACTATGTCATAAAATAATTTATTAAAATTAAAAAAAAAGTTTTTACGTTTTTCGTGAAATTTAACCTGGCGATAAAGTTAATGCACTAAACAGTCCTACGAAATTGGTTGAATTATATAAATTAAATAAAATTCATAATAATAAGCTACAATTTTAGGACACACAAACACGTGCTTGTGCAATATAATTAATATAATTACAGATAATATAACTGTGTTTGAAAAATATCAATTGGAAATCACAATGTTCAGATTTAAGTGAAAGCGAAAACATTATTTTTGGAGTAAACAGTACAACAATTTTGGTTGATTAAGTCAATTATTACAACAATTGGAAAGCTCATGCAACTTGCCTCAAGCCGAAATGCCAGTTTCAACTAGCAGATATTATTTTTGTCAATGTATTTAAATCCAACGTGACCTCAATATATAGGGTCATGAAAGTCTAATTTGACTTCAAACATTTATACTGTAAAAACAAAACCAACTACGATAAAACAAATACACGTAACACATATCAAACAAATAACTATTTAAACATGTTCAAAAAATTCTTAGTTCTTCATTATTGAACAACAAAACTAAGTTTGTTTTGCTATTTTCCAAAAATTTGACTCTTGTTTCTTTTTACCCGATAGGCAGTATAATAATGGGGAAAAGATCAACCATTTTATTTTTAATTTTAAAATTATAAATCCTTAGCATATGATGATTAAGAAAACTAAGTATGAAAGGATGACTAATATTAGTGATCTTTTCTGAAATAGAAATTCACGAAAAATTCATGAATAGTTGTATTGCTTTAAATTCTGAATATGTTTTCGCACCTTAATTAATTCAAATGGGTACCTTTTTGCTGATTTCCGTTTTTTATACAATATTAGCATAGGTCTTTTTTATCATTTTTGATGTATGATAAATAGATAAATATAATGTATTTTTGATGCTACATTTACATTCAGCTCAAGTTTCAGACAAAGTATCTGTCAGACGACAAATGTTGAGTAGTGGTCCGTCGCGTTTATGAATAAGTCAACGATACCGCGATGTTGACCTTCAATTTGAATAAAAATCATACAGAAATAAATTACTGTTAATCATTTTGCTATAAATAAATATATATTTGTATATGCGAGAACGTACATATGATGCATCTAAAATGCATTAGGATGACTGACTAAATGAATTCTCTCATTTTCAATTGTTTGATTTAGCAATTTCTTTGTCAAAAAGTAAAAGTTAATTATTAAATACTCAAATTTATATTTTGAGATTAATATTAAAATCTATTCATTTTTATGCAAATGCACGTTCCTAATCCTATGTTATATGAAATTTGATTATGAAACGTCCATTAATTACGTGAAAATTCTAAGGATAAGCATATAAAGATTTTTGGGTCCCCTCTTCCTTTTGATGATATGTGGTGATAATTTCAATTTTTGAAAAAACCCTAATTTTTTTCGAAAACTTTGAATAAATGATATTTTTGAAAAATTTGAACTTTTTTCAAAGCAATCGTGCTGCGTTGCTGATTAAATACTCAAAATCATATTTTGAGATTAATATTAAAATCTATTCATTTTTATGCAAATGCACGTTCCTAATCCTATGTTATATGAAATTTGATTAAGAAACGTCCATTAATCACGTGAAAATTTTAAGGATAAGCATAAAAAGATTTTTGGGTCCCCTCTTCCTTTTGGTGATATGTGGTGATAATTTCAATTTTTGAAAAAAACCCTAATTTTTTTTCGAAAACTTTGAATAAATGATATTTTTGAAAAATTTGAACTTTTTTCAAAGCAATCGTGCTGCGTGGCTGATAGAAGAAATATTGAAGCACGCAACACACACACACACACATGCATCCATTTTTCCCAATTAAGGTATGCCAAAATGTTCAAAAACCTTTGAAAACTATATACCTTTGAAAAGATATATAAAAATTTTCATTTTTAACTTCCCGTAAGATAACTTATAGTAATCGAAAATAAAAATTTTTGCATATTTAACGTTTGGAAGACTTCTGAACATTTTGGCATACCTTAGAAAAAATGGATGTATGTGTTTGTGTGCGTATGTACGTTTGGATACAATATTTCGTCCACAATTTCGGCCGCACGAAGCAACCGATTAAGCAACCGATTAAGATTTTAATTTTTTTTCTAATTACCTTTAGTAAGTTTTCGGAAATTTTTTTGATGGCGCAATAGTAATGCTATTTTATAACTATATAATATAAAATTTTAAAAGTTCTTTCTTTATATTCAATCTTTATATTTAACATAGATTTATAAAAAAAATAATAAAATGTCAATTTATGAGCCAACTAAATGGCCGATGTAAATTTTCTCATTATTAGAATTTTTATATATAACCCTCATTTATAACCCTTAATTTGGTAAAACTACACTGAACGATAAACTACAAACTTACAAAAAATAAAAAGTTTGTTTTCAAATAGTTCTTAACACTAGCATATATAAATATAAAAAAAATATTTAGTATTTTTTGTAACTTTATCACGTGTTATTTCTTCGAAGTTTTTATTTTTGACACCCAAGATAATCATTGTAATAAAATCGTTTTAATAATACTACAGTTGAGATAAGTTATTTCAGCAGGTGTTTGAGATTTCGATTTGTTTCCGAAATATAAAACATTCGTTTTTGTTATCTACCTTTACACTTTTGTAAACCCAAGATTTGCATTAAAGGAATTCTATTTCAGGTGCTAAGCTAACAGAAATCGCTCCGAAATAAGTGTTTGATAAACAGGTGAAATATTTATTTAAAGAACGCTTTGGCATTTTGAAGGTTGTTATATTTGCTGAGCCATTAAATGAGGTGCTAATTTATTCCAACAAGTTCAGCATCACAGATTTATTTGCACATGCAGTATAAAAACAATCAGGCACTTGCCAACTCATAAAAAATTTATCAGGAAAATACTTTAGATCAGCGATACAAAAATAATTCAAAATGCACCTTTTATTAGCATGTAAATAATTATATATTCATATTTTTTTTTTTTTTTTTTTGTTACAATTTATTTTTGTTAATCAAGACTTTAATGTCTTATTTACAAAATTGATATGAGCAAATAAAAAATACAAAAAAACAAAAAATGCAATACATTGAATATAAAATGAAAAAAGTTAAAATAAAAATTAAATTAAAACAGTAATACAAAAATAAAAACATAAATGAACGATGACGTGATGATGTATGCCG